GGGGGGGGGGGGGCATTGGCAGTCTATATCCAGATTTTTAGGAATCCACCGTTGTTGCTTTAGTCGCCATCTTAAATTTAAGGGTGAATTCCTTATTTATTATATTACCCTATTATTTTCAACTTCACACTAAAAATAGTAATAACCAAACTAGAAGCAAATTTTATTCTCTACAACTTTAGTCAAAGCCGAGATAAAATAAAGATTCGATCTTGTCTGACGTTTGATGTAATTGATAATGAAGATACGAAGTGTCGTTTTCGCAATGATCTGTATTCGGAATCCATTGAATCATGGATTCCCTGTCAAAGCGGTAAAAGATATGTAAAAATGATGATATACATATAAGAAAATTAGCTTTATTCGTGGTTCTTCTATGATATAATATTTTTATACAGTTATTCAGAAGCAAAAATGTTAATTAATATTAAATAAATATAACCCATTTTCCCTCGGTTTCCTGTATATGAAGTTTCTTGTTATAAATAAGTAGTTTTATTTATTAAAAAATGGATTCTATTAGCACTAACTATATCGACAGTTTTTTACAAATGTATTTTTGGCTCTAAAACGGTCAAACAGCCGGTCGATAGTACGGTTAGTGTTAACATTCTGATTTAGTACATTTGCGAAGAATCTTCCAACAAACAAAGTAATCTTTGTACTATCAATGAGTCTGAGACACTCCACGTGCCTACTGTCGGGTGAAGAGTCGTAGGTAGGCATCTCAGGTTCACTCATGTAAGCTCTCTCCAACGTTATCTGTCACGATCGTAATTAATCACTACCACAGCAATGAAATCAGATCAGAATATAGATTAGGGATTAGGACGCTTCTTGTATGTATCGAAGTTCACCCATAAAGCATTCTACTATTTAATTTGTAATACAGGGGAAAGTACAGTGACTGCTAATTTGTTTATTATTCGGTGCAATTGTGAAACAGATTAGAAGCAAAATTATTACTAATTAATAAACTTGTTATCTCATTTTTGTATTTTTCAGTATGTTCAAAATAAATCAGGAAACTTTGTGGATATTGATACTGGTGTAATTGTTGGAACACATGAAGGCATACATCAATGGACTCTAGGTCAAAGATGTAAAATTGGGGGAAAACCGCAACCATATTTTGTATATAAAAAAGATTTAAAATCGAACGATATATTTGTGGTAAATATTGTATGCATGTAGTAGAAATAATTTAAAAAATACTTTATAAGTATTTAAATCATTTATTTTAATTGGTTTAGGTCGCAGGAACAAATCATCCGGCTTTATTTGCGGAATTTATTATCGCTTCTGAAATTTATTGGATCGATAAAGAACCTGTGGAATTGCAGAACAGTCATGGCATTTTAAGATGCTATTTTCGTTTTCAACATTTGAAACCATTGGTACCTTGTAATATTTATAAGACGCAGAATAACCAATTACTCATTAAGCTTGATGTACCTCTTAGAGCAATTACTCCAGGACAGGTAATTCTTTATGTCCTCCATTAAATAGAAGCAATATATAAAATAATAATTTTTCCTGTTGCAGTACACTGTTTTATATTCAGGTGAAGAATGCCTTGGTAGCGCAAAGGTTTTACATTGTGGTCCTTCTTATCATTTGTTAAGTGATCAATTTGCGAAACAAACGAGCAAAGAAATATCTTTAGACTTAAAAGGAGCTGACAATATCTAAAACATAATGAACTCACAAAGTTTAGCAAACTACATAGTGTTAACAGATATTGATTTATTAATTTTAATTATAATAGTAAGCAATCGTGCAAATAAATTATTAACTTGCTGGTATAATTTCATTCCCAGTATAAAAATTCTCACCGTCGGGAAGTTAGCGCGGGAAAATCAAAATTTGTATGTTTTGTAACGTAATTTTCTTTAACTTGACCCGACACTGATAGCAAGACATCCGGGAACGACTATCTTCGAGAACCAAACCTACGTTACCTTCGGCCGTCCACCCGTCATTCGTCCCTTTAAACCAAATCGAGAGCGTTCCTTAGCGAATCGGTACATAATCTTTGGAGATCCTCCACGGCCGCTTCCCCAGGGCATCGGGCGACAGCTGGGCACCACATCCTTAACTCGGGCAGGAGGTTCCTCTCCTGCCCTTAACCATATCAAAACTTCCTCCGCCCGCTCTACAGCCCTTTGCCCATGTCCAGCGGGGCGCCGGTATCTCACCCGGGCTTCTGCCGGTCCGTGGAGACGTCTCCGTCGGGTACTCTCCTCTGCCGGGCAACTCGGTACGTCCAGACTATATCCCCACGGCAGATTCGAGCACCTCGACCTCAACTAAACACTGACAAAATCTTACGAGAGCCTTGACATAACTGTACGAATCAACCCGAGAGCGTAGCTTCTGAGCAGGGTGGCGACCCGAAGAGAACCAGAAATCGAGAACCTTATCTGTATCGGTAACCGGAGCCGCCTTGGGACCGTGATTCGAAAAATCACGTCACAGTTTATAATGCTTAAAAAATTGCTCCTTAAATGCTCCATATGTTTCCGTAATTGCTCCACTGCTACTATGCAGTGATTAATAAATATTCATTAAAACAGAAAATTTTTATTTTTATTGAAATTCACAATAGCCGAGCAGATTTTCATATGAGTTTCTTGATGAATTAATTGCTCCCGATTTGCTCCTAATTGCTCCACAATTAGTTTTTTACTTAATTAAAGCATCTTTAAATAATAAGTAAAATTTGATTTTCACTTAGCTCGATTGCAAACGTGAACATTATGATTGGTTTGCGAACACACCTATGACAGCTGCGTTCTAAGATCAGCCGAGAGTGCGCGAACATCTTTGCCTCGGTTCATTTTCGAACACACTTGGTCAATTCAGGATTGGCCAATTCCTTTAGATCAGTATTAACTAAACCGGTTCAAGACCGCCGTGTAAACGTAGTTTAAGGCCTGTTATCTTCTGCGCGCTTCAATGTATAAACTACGTTTATTTTCAAAATACAAGTATCTGATTGGCTAATAGCACAGTTAAGCCGAGTTTATGCATTGAACCGCGTCGAAGAAAACGAAGCGTAAATCGGTTCAAGCCCGCCGTGTAAACGTAGTCAGTGACTAACACAGGCATTTCCACTTTCAAGAAATATTTGGGATTTATCAGTTCCTTTAGATGAGTAATAATTAACCCGGAATAAGACCGTGTGAACGTGGTCGATGACTACAATCACACGACGGTTTTATTTCGGTTATGATTTTACTAAAAGATAACCCTCGGTTAACTGGCGAAATTACATGTTTGAACATGCTAAGGCATTGATTCAGCCTAACCATTAGAGTAACTTATTTTGATTCCAGGTGATTTTTCTTACTCGTGCGATGTATATTCCATTGTGAAAATGGTTATCGTGTCCAATGTGACTTTATGTATGATTGCTACATATAAAAAACACCTTTTTAAATGATTTTGGGCAATAGCAATCTCATTCGTTATCACTAGTAAATATGAGTATCTCTCATTCTCTCAGACTAATTATTTTTAATCGGTCATAAAATATGTTTTAAGGCAGGGTTTAAATAAGGTATTTCTTCACGACTTGTGCTATTAAAGAAAAATGTCTATTCATAACCTTTGTTTTATGTTACTAGTTATGCCGATAATTATGAAAGTGACCTAAGTGACAATATGAATAAATTATGTTAATAATTGAACCATTTTTTTTACTACGCACAAACGCAAAAATCTAATTATCCAAAATAAAAGTGACAGGTTGCTTTTACAATATAATGAACGACACGCTTGTAGTCGTAAAATATAAAATGTATTTTCGTAACATTGCCAATACTGCTGATTAATAATATATACCTGAAGAACATGCAAACAGAGTTAAATTAGATAACTTTGATGATAATGTTAATTCAAAGTACTATTTGAAAGTTAACTGAAATTTAGCAGGTTTAACACAATTTTCGAACTAATCGGATATTTGAAGTTCTCATGTCCGTTTTCTTCGACGCGGTTCAATGCATAAACAAACATATGCAGACATATGCAATGCATAAATCAGACACTTGTATTTTGAAAATAAACGTACTTTATACATTGAAGCGCGCAGGAGGTCGTTTGTGTAACTCAAATGTAGTGAAAATACGAAAATTGAATGGCTGTTAGCCAATCCCGTGTTAGGTTCAAAAGAAGACAAGCACAGCGATTGGCTAACAGCTATTCACTTTACGTTATTTCACTACATTTGAGTTACACAATCGATCCCCAGAAAATAACAGGCCTTAAACTACGTTTACACGGCGGTCTTGAACCGGTTTAGTTAATACTGATCTAAAGGAATTGACTAAGTGTGTTCGAAAATGAACCGAGGCAAATTTTACTACGCACAAACGCAAAAATCTAATTATCCAAAATAAAAGTGACAGGTTGCTTTTACAATATAATGAACGACACGCTTGTAGTCGTAAAATATAAAATGTATTTTCGTAACATTGCCAATACTGCTGATTAATAATATATACCTGAAGAACATGCAAACAGAGTTAAATTAGATAACTTTGATGATAATGTTAATTCAAAGTACTATTTGAAAGTTAACTGAAATTTAGCAGGTTTAACACAATTTTCGAACTAATCGGATATTTGAAGTTCTCATGTCCGTTTTCTTCGACGCGGTTCAATGCATAAACAAACATATGCAGACATATGCAATGCATAAATCAGACACTTGTATTTTGAAAATAAACGTACTTTATACATTGAAGCGCGCAGGAGGTCGTTTGTGTAACTCAAATGTAGTGAAAATACGAAAATTGAATGGCTGTTAGCCAATCCCGTGTTAGGTTCAAAAGAAGACAAGCACAGCGATTGGCTAACAGCTATTCACTTTACGTTATTTCACTACATTTGAGTTACACAATCGATCCCCAGAAAATAACAGGCCTTAAACTACGTTTACACGGCGGTCTTGAACCGGTTTAGTTAATACTGATCTAAAGGAATTGACTAAGTGTGTTCGAAAATGAACCGAGGCAAAGATATTCGCGCACTCTCGGCTGATCTTAGAACGCAGCTGTCATAGGTGTGTTCGCAAACCAATCATAATGTTCACATTTGCAATCGAGCTACGTGAAAATCAAATTTTACTTATTATTTAAAGATGCTTTAATTAAATAAAAAACTAATTGTTGAGCAATTGGGAGCAAATCGGGAGCAATTAATTCATCAAGAAACTCATATGAAAATCTGCTCGGCTATTTGGAATTTCAATAAAAACAAAAATTTTCTGTTTTAATGAATATTCATTAATCACTGCATAGTAGCAGTGGAGCAATTACGGAAACATATGGAGCATTTAAAGAGCACTTTTTTAAGCATTATAAATATACAAATTTTGATTTTCCCGCGCTAACTTCCCGACGGTAAAATTCTCGTACTCAAATTGGTTCATTGATGATAAAGTCAATTCCCTTCTTATTGAGTATAAGACAATCTTTATCTTTAGCTATCCTGGCACTTGGCCCTCTACCTGGGCATAAAGCCACAAGGAACAAGAAGAAGAAGAAGATCTTTAGCTATCAGGGTGTTATGTCGCGGCCTAGTGATAAATAATCTCACTAGAATAATTGGGCGGCGAATTCGAATGAGGGATTATAATGGAATCACGATTTCTGTCTCCAAATCAGAATTCAATGCTTTCAAATACTGAGTCTGTCATTAACGCATAAATAAGGTATATTCTAAACAATTCGGAGAAAGCTTTCTAGCCGCTACACGTGCATAAACATATGGGCCACAAAGAATGTAGGCATGGGCCATTTGTTTATTGCTATCCTAACCGAGTGAGTTTCTCAGGAACTCCCACTCCTGGCAATAAATCAAGTCACTTGAGAGGATCGACGGGTTAGCGGAATGTTCGGTTAAGAGATGACGCTGTCCATGTGCTTCTCCAAATAAACTAAGGATAGGGTGTGCATGAGCCCTTTGTGCGTAAGACAAGGACCTCTTTCTTGGGCCAGGACAGCAAGGCCCCACACGCTGGGCCTCCACAAAAGGTGTACATACACATGAATGAGTATGAATGCGGATGCATGCATGAGAAGTATGAAGGACTGTATCCCTCGGGATCCAGAAGGGCAGTTCGATTTCTGGTCTTGAAGGGTGTAGGTACTTCGTGTCTATATCGTAGAGTCAATTAGCTAGATTCAGTTAAGATAGATTGATTTAGACTAAATCACATTATAATTAAAGTAAATAAAGTTAGTTATAATGCTCTTCAAAAGCACCTGCATTTTTATTTCTAAAGTTGAAACTTTATTCAGTTGAAAAACTTTATAAACTTTATAAACTTTATTCAGTTGAAAACCCATAACATCATCGTATCAGAAATCAACATCTACAGAAGATTGAACACCGTTGGAGTGCTCGTCAGAGCTTTGGTGGCTAACGAACCCACCTCGCCAGATTCACGCAGTCGAATCTGCCGTGAAAACGACAGTGGCGACGATCAGGACGTCACAAGGGTATATAAGTAATTCATTCGACCAATCAAAAACGTGGAACTAGTTCGAGAGTCTCGTTCAGGTGGCGCGTCGACGCGCCGAAACACAGCTCCAGATTATCACGCGTAGTATTACCAGAGATGAGTAGGGAGATTGCCAATGAGCCTGTTTTTGGTGAAGGCAATTTTTCTTTGGTTTCGGCGCGCCACCTTAGCGGAGGGCCCTCGAAGCAGTTCCACGTTTTTGATTGGTCGTGTATATATAGTAATACTACGCGTGATAATCTGGAGCTTTGTTTTGGTGCGTCGACGCGCCACCTGAACGA